GGACGCTTAACCGACTGCGCCACCCAGGCGCCCCTATAGGTTTCCTTTCTATCTCACTTTTTTCCTTGTAATTCATTTATAGAAGAGCCAGCTCTTTTGTCCCCAAGGTCTGGATTTTGTTGATTGCCTCCTTGTGATAGAGTTTGCCATGTTCCTCTGTCCTTTGTATTTTCTATAAATTGTTAGAGCTATATTATGATTTGGAGTTTTATTTGGTTTTACAAGACTACTTCACAGGTGATGCTACTTTTTTCCATCAGGAGGCACATGATGTCTGGATAGCTCTCATTTTGTGATATTAGCACTCCATTTTCTTTTCTTTTTTTTTTTTTTAATTTTTTTAATGTTTATTTTCAAGAGAGAGAGAGAGACAGCATAAGCAGAGGAGGGGCAGAGAGAGAGGAAGACACAGAATCTGAAGCAGGCTCCAGGCTCTGAGCTGTCAGCACAGAGCCCGATGAAGGGCTTGAACTCATGACCCGTGAGATCATGACCTGAGCCAAAGTCAGACGCTTAACCAACTGAGCCACCCAGGTGCCCCAGCACTCCATTTTCAAGATGCATCCCTATTGCTGTGTTTTTTGTGTTTTTTTTTTTTTTTTGTACTCTGTAGTATGAAACCTTCACATTTTATGTACCCCCTCTGGCTGTGTGTCCAGATTGCCTCCAATTCATTGTCACCACAAATACTGCAATGACATTCTAATATGAGTCACCATGGACCTGAGAATTTCCTTGGAAAATAGATTCCATGGGAGGATGGTGGGGTCGTAAGATATTTTAAGCTTGATTTGCCAAGTATTGCCAGATTTTCCTAAAAAATGCCTCCCCTTATCCATACCTCGATCAGCAGTGCCTATTTCCCTGCATGCCTACCAAACTTGGTATGATTCATCTTCCTAAATTTTGCCAGTCTAATAGATATGAACTAATATATCTTTTGTTTAATTTGCATTAATAAGTTAGAGACTCTCATGATGTGATAGCTTGCCTTATGGGTTTCATCTACTATAAATTCCTCTTCATAGCTTCTCTCCATTTCCTAATGGTAATTGTTTTCCTATCTTTTTCTTAACGATTTACATATTCTAGGTATAAGCTCCTTGTATATTAAAAAATTCCAAGTATCTATTCCCATTCTTTCATCTGCCTACAAATTTTATTGATGGACTCCTTAATTATCAACTTTCTGGTTTTATCTTTTACATTTAGGTATTCAACCCACCTAGAATCTACCTTAGTATGTGATGTTATCTAATGATGCAGGAGTTTTAGGGTTTTTTTCCCATAGAAGAAACTAGCACTACTTACTGAACAATTGTTAGCAGTTTGTTAGCCCTCTATTCTCCTCCATTGTGCTAGTTCTTGAGCTATTCCCATACTACTTTTATTATGGCCCTGCAGCTTGTCTTTTTTTTTTTTTACAGAGTTGCAGCCCCGTGCATCGGGCTATGTAATTGACAGCCAGCCTAGAGCTTCAGATTCTGTGTCTCCCCTCTTTCTCCCTCTGCTGGTTCTGTCTCTCTCAGTAATAAATAAATAAGTAAGCTTTTTTGTTCATATATTAAAATTGTCAAAGTTTATTATACAGATTATTATCAACATTATTTCATACAATGAGTAGTACAGGTTAAATTACTATTTCTCTATATAAACAGAGGAGGGAAGAGTCCAAGATTAAAAAATACATAACTTGTTATGACATTTTCAGAGAGCAGTTTTCACTTTTGCTTGATATTAAAGTTTGTTGGGGTGTCTGTAGTTTAGTTAAGTGTCTGCCTTTAGCTCAGGTCATCTTGTGGTTTGTTGAGTTCAAGCCCAGCATCGGCCTCAGGCCAGCTCAGAGCCTGAGCCTGCTTCGACTATGTCTCCCTCTGCTCCCCTCCTACCATACTCTGTCTTCAAAAATAAATAAACATTAAAAAAAAAATTTTAAGTTTGTATTAATCAAGATTTTAATAAGCACAATGCAAATGGCTCAAACCAGAAATATGGGGGAAAACATGTCCCTCTTGGCCCACTTCTTCCCACCAATGTTCTTTTGCTTTTGGGCAATTTTCAGAAACATCTCAACATATAATATGTATATAATAGGTGTATATAAGATTAGTATATCATATATATTACATATGTTATTTTATATATGTACATATTAACATATATTCAATATATATATTCTTTTTCTCCAATCTTTTACATAAATGATAGTATGTTACAACCATCGAATTTTACTTTTTATTTTTTAACGCCTATTTATTGAGAGATGTATTATTGAGTATCTTAACGGACTGCCGTCCAGGTGCCCCTGAATTTTAACTTGTCAAGTCTTGTATTTCACAGTCAGACAGAGTTTTCTTACCTTCTTAGAGTTGGCAGTTATGTTGGTATAATAATTTATTTCACCATATATATTTTTATATATATATATATAAAAAATATATATATATTTATATATATATAAAATATATATATATTTTTATTATATATT